TTATAACGGATAAAAACACAAACAATGAGGCAAACAGAAGCACTTTGAGTGAATGGAAACACCCACAGAAGAAGAGAGATGACTATGGGGGAAAAAGACTGAGAGAATGGAAAATAAAAATAAAGAAAATAAAATCAGATTATTAAAATAAAAAAATAAAAAAATAAAAAAGTAAAAAATAAATAAATAAAAAAAGTAAAATAAAAAAGTAAAATAATAAATGAAATTAATTTTTTTTTTTAAATCATTTGAATTGATATCATTTAAATTTGAATAATTATTTAAATAATCATTTATTAGTATATTTAAGATTTAATTGACAAAATAAATTGATATAATTAAATATATGGACTCGATGTTCTTCCCCAGCTGAGACCAACAGGGAGGAAACGGCCAATCAGAGGAGAGAGAGCAAAAAAAGATGAAAAACACCCCCCAGAATTAATAAGAAACAACAGATATAAGACGTTTTGACTGGAAAAAAAGTCTGCCAGTGAAAATGTAAAGTCCCACTGATATATAAAGTTTTATAACGGATAAAAACACAAAAAAATTAACCGAACTGAAGCACTCTGAGTGAATGGAAGAGAAATGACTGTAAGGGGAAAAATAAGACAGAGAATGGAAAATAATTTGAAAAAAATAAGACAGAGAATGGAAAATAAGAATGGAAAATGAAAATAAAGAAAATTAAATGAAATTATTAAAATAAAAAAAGTTTTTAAAAAAATAAATAAAATATTTTAAAAAAGTAGAAAATAAATTAAATTTGTTTGAAAAAGTAAATAATTTTAATTTATATCATTTAAATTTTAATCATCATTTAATCAATAATTTTTTAATACATTTTAAATCTATGTAAAGAATAAATTAATATAATTAAATAATAAACTAAATACAAAATAAATCCAATCAAATAGGAAATAGAAAGAAACAGGGTCAGAAAGTCATTATTTGAGCATGGAAATATTCTCCAGGCAGCAGAAATGAGGGGAAAAAAATAAGACAGAGAATGGAAAATAAGAATGTAAAATGAAAATAAAGAAAATTAAATGAGATTATTAAAATAAAAAAAGTTTTTAAAAAAGTTAAAAAATGAAAAATAAAAAAGTAAAAAAATAAATAAAAATA